ACACGGGGAGAAGATGGCCACCGACAAGCTAAGGAGAGCGACCTCAGAAGAAACTAACCCTGCTGATACCTTGATCTTGGACTTCCAGACTCCAGAACTGTGAGAGAATAAATTTCTTCTGTTTAAACCACCCCCTCTATGGTACTTTGTTAAGGCAGCCCCAGCACATTAATACAGTCATGATCTGAGTTTTGTTAACGGTCATCTCTGACAGTTGTGTTATGGATGGACTGAGGGGGCAGAGGGAGAGGCAGGAGACCAGGCAGGCGGGACTGCAGCATGCCAGGTGAGGGGCAATGGAGGCCCAGACCACGGGGCAGCAGCAGGAGCAGGTGGGAAGTGGCCGATCCTAGATGTTGTCTCACCGTAGACCGGATAGGATCTGCTGACCCACCAGACGTGGAGTTCAATAGAAAGGCAGGTATCAAGGGTGACCCCAAGATTTTTAGCTTGATCAACTAGAAGTTGAATTCCCTTTCCCTTTAATTGAGAAGAGAAAGACTTCTTTAAAGTGCATTCCCTTAAGAATCTTCCTAAAATTTCTCTAGGGTCACCCAGGGTACATCTACCACCTTCATTTTACCAAGAGGGAAACCAGAGCACAGAGAGCTGAGCAACTGAATTAAGAAGGGAAAGAAAATTAGTGGCTGATTAGGATTTTAAGTCTGAATTCCAAGATTGATGCTAACTAGATCAGAGTTTACTGCAGACATTAAACTTAGTAATTGTAGGGGCCGGCCTGGTGGCGCAACAGTTAAGTTTGCACACTCCACTTCGGCAGCCCGGAGTTTGCCAGTTCAGATCCGGGGCACAGACCTATGCAACGCTTATGAAGCCATGCCGTGGCAGGCGTCCCACATATAAACTACAGGAAGATGGGCATGGATGTTAGCTCAGGGCCAGTCTTCCTCACCAAAAAGAGGAGGATTGGCGATGGATGTTAGCTCAGGGCTAATCTTCCTTAAAAAAAAACAAAAAAGTAATTGCATAATATTTGAAATTATAAAATGTCACCTTCAAAAAAGATATGAATCAGAAGCGGGGAGAAAACAAATGGAGAAAATCTAACTGAGGAAACTGACACAAATAAAATCTCCAAGAAGATGGGGTCAAACCTATTTGCAATATGCCTTTTAGGGGCGTTGAAGGCAAATTTTGTGTGCTATCTAATTTTGCTCAATCTTCACTACCATTTATTGGACACTTCCTGTTATGCCATGCAGTAAGACAACTGATTCGGATGAAGTCATTTGTTCCTCACAGACAACCCTAATGAGGTTGGTGGTGTTATTATTATCACTGTTTTACAGATGAGGAATCATAGTCACAAAGAAGTGTATCTGAGATTGAAACACTGGTAGTTAGAGTCTGGAGCCCACGGACTCGCCATGACTCCAGTGTGGCCATGAAGACTAGGGCAGCCCCGTGAATTTAAATAAACATGGAACTCTTTACGTTTGCATCAACTGGTCTCTAGTTCTCTCCTTCTGCACCCCTCCCCCTGAATCTGGTGTGCCAATGCCGTAAGGAATTAACTACGTGTCGTTTTTCAGTGTCATCAGGCAGGTTCAGGTTTGGGCAATGATTAAGAACTTCTTCATACAAATCAGAACAGATTTGGAAGAACATAAACAAAATAGTAAAGGTCGAGAAACCATTTTAGTAAATGATTACATGAATTTGGGAGTACTGGCATGGAAGAGAGAAGTCCTTAGGTAAAGTAAATGTTGGCTACCTTCAAAGATTTGAAAGGCTTTCACAGGAAAGGAAGATTAGAAATAAGACTGTGGGGGAGAGTTACAATAAGTAAAACCTTTAAGTTAATATAAGGAAGAACTTTGTAATAATCAGGTCTTCTCGACAATGAGGTGGGCTATCTTTGGACCAGCAGTTCCCGCAGAGACTAGACGACAAACAGTGAGGAACACTGCAGTGGGCAGGGGGCTGGCTGCTGGGATGGTCTTTAAGATCCCTTTCAACTGTAAGATGGCTATTTATTTAAATTTATGGTCCCAAGACAGGCGGTAATGCTGTTTAATTCTCTGCTCGGTTTTCACATTACCTACAATTTCATCAGGGTCAGACTCTAGGTCCGGACTAACGCCCTACAGGTGATGTGTTATGAGATCCCAAGGTCTTTGCAGGCAGAATGTCTAAACGTTCAGTAATGTTTCTTCCTTCTTGCAGTGTTTTTTGGGGTCACTGGAAATTGCCAGAAGAGAAAAGTAATTCTTTCCTTCTATATTAAAGTTGGTCAGAACAAGAATGAAATCATGTTGACAGGCAACCGGGAGAATTTTTAGATGATAAAAAAAAGGGCAACATCACCAGAGACAACAGCAGTTTCCACACTAAACTGACAGGGGGCTTGTGACCTTGTTCTGCTCTCAGATCCTTCCAGGACTCCTGCAAGATGATGTGGATGCTCAGAAAAATCTCTCAATCTTTCTATGTTTGGGAAGAAGGCCTCTCTTTCTCTGGAGGGCCATCTTGTCAAAGTGATGTATGCCTTAGCTCCCTATGTCCCAGCTGGTCTATCAGAATAACCCTTTGCCTTGATCTGGGGTGGGAGACAGAAGGAGGTAACAAGAGTCTGATGGTGGCAGAAAGCGCAAGGGACGATCTTGGCTCAGCTGCCAAGATCATGCTGTCTCCCACCTCACCCCCTCCTCCTACAATATCACAGTATCTCTCCCGCCCCTCGCCCCCGTTTGTTCTCTTTGATTCATTTCAATAAAGAACCTGACCCAGTTTAGGTCCAACAGACTTACCCCTTGTCTATGCTCAACTTAAATATTCTACAAATATACACAGAAATTGTTGAACACAGTGTAACGTGTTGGTTAGTACTCTCAATTGAACCTTTTAAAATGGTGTGCTTCAAGTGGAAACGTATTTAGCAATATCCTCCTAATATAGTGTCATGAGCATCTTTTTCAATGGATTAAAGCTCCTGAGAGATAGAGAAACTCACTGGATATACAGTAGACAGGGGGATAGGAAATTATGTTGACCGCTAGCTGTCTTTGGGAAAGCAGCTGTGCTACAGTAGAAAGAGTTCTGGATTTGCAGTAGGAAGACCCAAGCTTTAAGGGGTGGCCCTGAGACTTACCGACTAGGGCAGCGCTTTTCAAGGGGAAGTGCAGGGAAGGACCAGTTTGGCTGGTTGGTTGATTTACATATTTTAATTTTCAACCCATCGCAAACTGATGCTTTTGTAAAAATAATAAATATATAAAAAGTGAAACTCTTTTTTTATCATAAGATTCAACAGACATAAAATGATTCTGTCAAATTGCCACCAAAGTGTCTAAAAGCTTGCTCTCAATTTCTGCACCTATATGGTTGCCGATGGGCAACAAACAGTTTGTGGACCACATCTGAGTAGCTGGCGTTGGGGAACTCACTCAGCCTCCCTTAGTTTCTCCACTTACTCAGTCTCCCTGGGTAGTGTGTGGACTAAGATGATAACAAAACTGTGTAATAGACTAAAAAGTGCCATCCAAATTTTAAATGATTATTGGCCTCATTAATAATAACAGTAGTTGAAAATGATGGCAAAGGGCCAAATATTTTTTTCAGTAAAGGTAGATATTACCGTGGTACAATCAAGTCAGAATTCCTAGCGACAACAAATTCCCTTGGAGTCACTAATTTTCCAAGCATAGAATACCTGGCTGAGAGGTAGGAAGGGAGAAAACCTCTACGAGTCAGAAAACTACAACGGAAAGTTCCCAACCGTGTCCATCTAGCCTCTGGCTCTCTGCCTAGTGACCGGCTGGGCCCTCCAGGCTGCAGTTTTCCCATCTGCAGGACCCAGTTAACCGTGGTCACTAACCTGGGACAGGCATTCAGGGTCCCAGCTCAGACACATCCTTCACGCCAGATCTCGATACTTTCTTCTTGTCATGCCAGGGAACTAGGTCAAGCAGTACGCCTTGGAATCATAATGGGAAATCTCTTGGGCACCAGGGCGGTGATGTTTGAATGAATGAATGAACACACACACACACACACACCCCTCAGAGCGATTCAGAACTAGCATGAGAGATTCCCCTGGGTGGTACGGAGTCAGGGTCTCTGCTGTAGGCCTGCCTTTGGGGGTTGTCTTGGCAGATTTCCCAGCAATGCTGTTGGAGGCAGATTCCAGCGAGAGAACGCTGCACTGGCTATTGCTAAATATTAGGGACTCACACTCATACAGTCAGACAACAGTCAAATGCCACGTAACAACATTTTGGTCAACAATGGACTACATACACAATGGTGGCCACATAAGATAGGTACCATCCAGCCTAGATCGGCAGTGGGCTATATGATGTAGATTTGTGTAAGTGCACCCCATGATGTTTGCATAATGATGAAATTGACTAATGACCCATTTCTCGGCATGCATCCCTGTCATGAAGTGATGCATGACTACACAGTACTCTGCTTCCTTCATCAGCAAGAACAAGGGCACACCTCTCCACCTTTCCCATCCCCCATTTTTCACTACTGCTCTACCAGCTCTTGTCTTTTCTTATTTTACACCCAAGTTGTCATTTTATATCATAAAAGTAATATACACAAAATAAAAAATTAAGCAGTATGGAAAGATATGAAATATAAAAGATTTTCTTCCTCATCTCCCTGCCATAGGGGTAACCACTATTAATGATTATGTGTACATGCTTTCAAAACATGTTAAGACTTACGGAAGCCTAATATGTGCCAGCATAATACATACATACACATATATGTTACTTTTTCTTTTTGATAAATGTGATTGTTCTGTAGTCTGGCAATTGACAGCATTATTTTTTTCTTCCTTACTTTCCTTGACATTCAATCTTTGGTTTGATTTTACCTTCAAACTTTTTTCCCCCCAGTGGGGATGAGTCCTTGCCCTGGTCTCCACACTCCTCAGTCATGGTCATATCCCCAACCCCTCTCCCGACTGCCCCCCCCGCAAGCCGAGCCCTCCCTTCCTGCCCTCATCCCCCCACCCCCGACCCCCATTACCTTTCCAGCCTCTGCATGGTCATGGCCAGGGTTTTGTTCAGCTCGTCTATCATCCTGCAGCCCGAGGGGTGCATGGGGAGGGAGCCGGTGGTGGAGGGGAGATGCGGGCCGAGGCTGCCATACTGCAGCTGGTGCTGGATCTGGGACGGCAGGACCGTGTGGTGGTGCTGGGCCCCGCCCTGCTGGCCACTCTTCTGAGCCACGTAGGATGGCAGGGAGAGGTCTGGCCCCCCTACAGGCATACAGATCATGACTTTCTTTGGAGGTAGCGGAGGCGACAGTTTCACTGGCAGACAAGGCAATTTCACAGGGGCGCCAGGATCTGCGGCAGAAGGAGGGCGAGAGGAAGATGTCAGCATGGGGACATTGAACGAAACCTAGAACACCACCTGTGCCCACCTTGGGACCAAGGTCATTGAGGTGGGCCCCTGAGATAAAATGCACCAACTGAAGACACAAGCAGGGTGAGTGCCACTCGACAAGCACCCACAAACTCTCATTTCCCACTCAAAGCTGCTGGCTCCAAGGGCTCTCGGGGACCTGGCATTAGCGGTGTCTGTCTCATCACTGTCACCAGCTCACCAGCAGCAAGAAGGGAGAATGATCCCGATGCTCTCTTCTGCTCATGGAAATCCATGGACCTTCGAAGGACCTTTTCTAAGGTATGCCATGATGCCTAAAATGTTGCCATTGTAATGTGAAAATATCCTTTCAGCTGGCACTTTCTAACAGGCATGGGATTGGAAGCCAGCCCTAGGTTCAAGACTACTAACAGTACGTCCCTCCACAAGTGACTTTAATTAGTGCCAACCTTAATTCCTCATCTGTAACCTGGGGCTGCTCATCCCACCAGGGAGGATGCTTTGTGGGGATTAATTATCACAGAGAGGGCTCAAGTGCCCTGTGTGGGAGTAAGGTGTGAGCATGATGGATGTGCTGGCTGGCCCACTCCTGTGGCATCCACGGTGGGCCGTTCAAACTGTAGGTAGGCTCCATCAGGCACTCCGGGGGCCTGGTGGAACCTCTGTACACCCAACCCCTTGGTTCCACGATTGTGGCACTGAAGCTTCTCAGAGATGCTCCAGTTTAGGGGTCTTAGGGTCAGACTGCCCTCGGGCATCTTTGGGATGACCCTGTAGTCCTCTGCCTGCACCCCACATTTCTGGAAAGCACCTAGCAGTGAGAGGAAAGGGGCATGGTTGAGTCCTGTGGGTTGCAGGCCTTCTTGGAGGAGCATGGCCAGGAAGGGCGGCGGGGGAGGGCAGGTAGCAGCAGCAGGTGTGTGAGGCGGGCAGAACACTTTTGCCTTCACCCCTGGTGCCTGTGGGGCGAGCACAGCATGGTTCTGACTCTAGGTCTTTGAGGCCTTAGATTTTTCTCCAACTGTCTGCCTGCTTTGAGTGTGGCCTTCTTCCAGTTTAGCCCCCATAGTCCTGCCAAAATGCCTTTCCTGGAGCACAAATCTGATCATGTGGCTCCACAGTTTAAAACCCTCAGTGGCCTAGAAATAAAGTCCAGCTTCCTGACACATCATTCAAGTCTTCAGGGTCTGTTTGCTGTTCAGTCTTTTCACGTCCACACACAACCTCTATGAAGTCTGCTCTGGTTCCTCCGGTTGGAAATCATCTCTCCTTCTTGCACCCAAAAGAGCCTCTGATCAGAGTCTCTCCTATGACGAGTGGATTTTTCTTATTTTCTCACCTACAAATTCAGTCTCCACCCTGAGCTAAGTCCTACCAGCTGGTCTTTGTCCCTCACAGTGTCCACGTGGACTGCTGCCATCTTCCCCGGCCTGCTCCAGGCGGCTCACTCAGCAGGTTCCCTCTCCTGTCTCACAGAGAACCCCAGGGGAGCACTCAAGGCTCCTCTGGATCCAGCTTCTTTTCTCACCATTACCCACAGGTATCCCCCTCACTCCTGCACCGTGAGTTGCCCAAAGCACTCGGTGTTTCCATAGCCCTGGGCCTTTGTCACTTTCCCTCAACTTGGAATATTCTTCTCTGTTTTGTCTTCTTGGTCAACATCTACTCTTCCTTCAAGATGCAGCTCAAAAATGACCTCTCCTGAAAAACCTCCTTTGATCATTACACCACTCCTTCCTTCCCACACCCACTGGACCTACTGCGGGTGGGCGGTAGGTATGTCAGTGTTAACAACAATGGCAATCTTGATGATGACAACAGTCATTATAGCCAAGCTTTACACCAGGCTTACTATGTGCCACATACTGTTCTAAGTGCCTTTCATATCTAACTGATTTAACCTCACAGGCAGCCTGTGATGTAGGCACCATTATTTTCTCACTTTTACAGGCGATGGCACTGACTCTGAAGACACTGTACTGTCCTTCCACACATTCACAAGGACTGTGAATAATTTGACATTATATATTTGGCATCTTTACAGTGCCCAGCTAACATAGCAAGAGGCTCAAAACATGTTTACAGAATGATCCAAAACCACAATGCTCTGCTATGGGATGAATTCACACCTTCCCGGGAAACAGATACTCTAGGAGGGTGATGTGAAAATAAAATGGATCAAAACTTTAGGATCATGCAGCTGTGGGTGTATAGACACGAAACTGCTGATCCTAAAGTTGAGACACAGAAAAGCCTAACAAGTCCAGGGTGCCTGGTAAGATTACCCCCCAACACCAAAATGCGAACCAGTCATAAAAACAAGCCTCCCTCACGCTCCTCCTGGAAGGCTCATCTTGCTCGTTACCATCCCCCATGCACAGCACACAGGGAAACCACGTCCAGGAGCATAAATGGTGCTAATTCCAAAGTGGCTGAGATGTAGAAACTCACCACCTTTGTCCAGTTCCTGTTACTCAAGGGTCTACTCCTGTGGCTCTTGGAAACTTTAGTGCAAACCTAGCAAACGTCACGTGTCTGGACGTGTTACGAGTTTTCATCCAGGAATCGTTGACCCATAATTCCTTCATTCTTGGGTCTAGTTGTCTGCAGCAGGTAGGTGCTCATTCACTTGAGCAGGAGAAAGTAGAGCCAGGAGGGCAGCATGGAAATGTCTACCCAGGAAGGGACAGTGACCACACTGGGTTCCATCCATCTTGCTAAGCTATAGTTTCCTGCTCACACTCCACCACAGTATGTCTCGTCACGGCTTCCATAGCAAAACTTACTCCGTTTAACACTGGAAAAATGGCCAGTGGCCTCCAGGAACTCTATCAAAACAGGCAAGGAAGAAATGACTGGGGGGGCCAAATTAGTGGAGACAGTTACTCTTATTGTCTTAGGAAAGGCATGCTGGGGCCATGGAGAGCTCCCTCTTCTCTCCTGCCTGCGTCTCCCTTCTGGTGGTTTCACTACACATGGTCATAAATTAAATACGAGTAGAGAAAGAAAGTGAATCGATTAAAATAATTTTTGGCTCAGCAGATTTGCTAAAAAGAAAGGAAATTAAGAAATTGGTTAAAATCAGGTAGAATTGTCTGCTCTTAGTGAATTAGCTCTGTGGTCTCCATCTTTCACCAACACGGTGGATAACTGAGGAGCGCCTGGGCAGCTCAGACCTTCAGTAACTTGGCAATGTCTATTTTTATATCTTTATGACATCTTAATACCAAGTCATTCCTCCTAACAGATCTGGAGGCACAATTTGAAACCAGCTGTATGTGATCTGTCATTCTGAGTTTCTGTCTCTCTCTCTATCTTTCCCTTTCAAACTTCTGTGTTCTCTGCCCCCTTGACCACACCAGCCCTGGGACCTCATCTCCTCTTATTGTGCAGATAATGGGGTCCCAGTCCTCTAATCCATCCCTCACCCTGCGCGAGACATCTCCCTAAAGCACAGGTCATGCTTGAGGTCCCACAATGAGCCCTTGCTGCAGTCAATGCTGCAAGTCCAGGTGAGACTCTGGGTCAGCCGTGTCCTGCTCCGCCAGGCATCTCCTGCCCTGCCTCTCCTTGGCCCACTGTGGCTGCTCCAGTCAGGCCAGTTTCCATACTGGGTTTCCAATAACCATGTTCATTCCTTCCTCAGGGCCTTGTCATACCCATGCCCTGAAATCCCCTCCCTGCTCCTGCCTGATGATCAAAATTGCATTCACCTTGCAAAGCACAACTGAGGGCCCCACTTGCCCCTTGCAGCCTTTCCGCCCTGAACTCCTGTGACCCTGATAATCAGCACCTTCATTTAATTCTGCTCGATTTTGTGCTGGTTACTGCTGGCTCCATTTGGGTTAGCCTTGGCTTCCCAACTGGGTCCTGGATGGCTCCTCCCAGGCACGCTTCAGCACTCCCCACAGGGTGCTCCGAGTAGTGAGGCCCAGGACTCCATGCCAAGCGTTCTTGCAGCCTCATCCAGGGGTACCCTAGAATCACCCCGAAGCTAACCCCCACGCCCCCTCAGGGATTCTACGGGGCGGTGCAGGGAGTGTCCAGCATTGTTTTTGGAAAGCCACATTTGAAAACCACTCTGAGCCTCTTATTCTTGTCCTTTTCTCTGAACACAAACAAACAACGGCACTAATTCTTAGAGTGGAGTTCTTGGACCACCTGCAACCGTCCTTGATGCCGGCTAGAAGTTGAAATTCCTGGGCTTCACCTCTGACCTACTGGATCAGAATCTCTGGACGGGGAATTTGGATTTTAAATGCTTCCCAGGTGCTTACTACACACAGGTGCTTACTACACACAGGGAGTTGAGACTCACTGATTCGGGGTGTTAAACTGCTCGTAGTACAATGCTGCCCGAGGCTGGGCCATCCCAGCATTCGATGGCCAGGAGGCATCAGTTATGGCCAGGAGGCATCAGTTCCGCCCAGCCCCTGGGCAAAGCCCATCCTGAGAGGTCATCAGCATAGTCTCTAGGTTCTATTTCTATGCCCTCAACGTGTAAAAAGTAAAAGCAATTTGCAGGAAACCAATTTACTGGAAGCTAATTTGCCTAAAATCTGTTTACCTAATGACTAGCTTGCCTAAATCTAAGGTTTGCAGTTAAAGGATCTGTTTTTAAAGCAATTCGTCAGAGGGCACTTTCAATTTAATTTTATATTTATAAAAATCACTTATCCTTGACATTCTGTGAATGATACGATTTCTTATATCCTTCTGGGTGGACTATTGTATCTTATTAGCTTTAGAAGACTTTAAGGACATTTTAGACAAGTTTGCCTAAAAAGCCATTCTTCAAAATTTCGTCTCATGCAATAAACACTTAACTGAATGTTCAACTTTTCCTACAGAGTTGATTCAGTGCATCAGAGTTCTCTTGTTCCTCCTTGCTGATTTCTCATTTACCCTACGTGTACGGTATGTATTTCTCAAATGAATATAGAAACATATACCCAATACT